TGGCCAGGTGGTTAGGGAGCTCGACTCGGAATCTGCGGGTCGCGGGTTCGAATCCCTGTCCCACCAAACATGCTCGCCCTTTCACCCGTGGGGGCGTTATAATGTAACGGTCAATCCCACTATTCGTTGGAAAAAGAGAAGCCCAAGAATTGGCGGTGGGTGGTGACGACTAGCTGCCTTCCCTCTAGTCTTACACTGCTAAATTAGGGACGGCTAGCGGAAATGGCCCTCGTGTAGCTTTGCGCGAAATTCAAAACAAACAAACAAACAATCCAAAGAAGCATATCCATATAGCGAAATAGCAAAGAAGAGGAAAACACATATACATCATCCCACTACAAGTCGAATTGCTGCTACCATTGCCAAACTTTGCAGGCTTATCGCCACCCACCTCTCTTTCCCTCTTCCGTCGGATTAAGAACTGCTAATAAGTTACACACATCCCAATCACAAATAATTCATATATATGTTGTCTTGTAAAGAAACATAAGGAACGAGTGCACTTGCTGCTCCCCTGGCGCATTAGTGACAGGAAAACAAATTGCAACACGAATTTATAAGGATTTTTCAAAATGGACAGAAAATGTAAAAAAATAGAAGTTTCGCGTCTGGAAATTTATAGTTTCCATAGGTTTTCTTATAACAGGAAATTTCCAGCTTAAGGTGCACAGTAAAGGTAAATTCTAGTTGACAACAGGAGAACGTATTGCACCAATTCTGCGAGGTGAAATTTCTGCATTGTATGGCTAAGTTGCAAACGAATACAATAGGATTTTACAATACTAACAAGGCCTATGATTATTCCGTTATCACCCATACCCTGAAGACAACTTTAATACGATCTCAGTTTAAAATGATAAAAACGTGGTTTCGTTTTACACTCGCTTTTTACTTACAGAGTAAAAACAAAATGTTGTCGTTTTTAGCAGATGTCCAACATCATTATTGCCAACTCTAAGCATGTAAAGTTGAAATAACAAAATTAGAGCATGAATTTGCAGAACGACCAAATTGGCATATTCATATAGCATCAGCCAAGAGACAAATGATCATCATTTTGCAAGGTCATCTGGAAGGTCAAGTTCCCAGAGAATATAGAACCAGTATCGAGGAAATTGGTTAGATGTTAATTTTTGATAGGACCACGTTCAGTAGAGAGTATAATAAAAATTTGTGTTACTATTCTCAGGCGTACAGTACAGCTAAGCATTCTATGCATTTCCTTTTATTGTTAACAACATATCAACTTGATGCATGATGTCGAATAGGCATGGATTCGTTACTTCTAATTATGCAGAAACAGCTTATGATTATGCTAGACGTGAGCGCATTAAATTATTCATTGACATTGTTTTACAACGTATATAAAAACACAACATCAAATTATATAACTGAAGCCCCTTCAATTTATTATTTTACAACTTTTATTTTTTTTCACTCTTTATTATACTGCAATAGAAAATACTTTGTAGGATTCATGTAATGGACTCCATTAGTTTTTGGAAGACTGACAACACTTTTATTCTAGAGGATGTCCCAAGTTGGCTTTCAGTTGTTTTGTAATTCTAATGCCACACTCAGTGAAAGGACTCATCAGGATTTCAATGGAAAGATGGCTTATTCTCCTTTCATAAGTTCAGTGCGCCTTTTCATCATTCCGTCTGAGTGGATAACGCCGACGCTCTAACTTTCTTGCGCAGTTCTGAGAAGTAAAATAAACAAGTATAAGGAACAATTTATCATCACTTAAGTAATTTAAGTAGATTCTAAAGTTTAGAAATCCCAGATAGTGTATTAATAGTAAACTTCTTGTTTTCTTGCTTATAATGCTTTGACAAATAAAAAAGAGAAACATTAGGATATCTTTTACACCGATGTTATAAATACATAATACAAAAATTGCTTCTGTAGATAGGTTTTGGTTTTGTTTCTGATATTCATTCAAAACTACACAGGGGCTAGCCGCTCCTAATTTTGAACTGATAGGCTTGAGGAAACGTAACTAGTTAACAGTATCCACGACTAAATCTGATAGTCACTCTTATAACACACCCAAGGCTGCGAAGTGAGGAGTTGGAGTTTGCGACAACAGGACCAGAACCATAAATCTTCGGATTCAGTCTGACGCGCTAATCAATGTGCCATGCCACGCCCCTTTAGATACGTAGGAAGGTCATAAGACTATATTGTAGAAACCATAGGTAGGTAAATAATAACAGTCTATTATAAAACTACAGCTAGCTGGATTATAAGATTCTATTATAGAAACCATAGGTAAGTAGATAATAACAGTTTGTTTTAAAAACTACAGGTAGTTTGATCTTAAAACTCTATTATAGAAACCATAGGTAGGTAGATAATAACAGTCTGTTATAGAGATTATAGATGAGCAGATCATAATAGTATGTTATACACATAATAGTTAGGAATATCATAAGAGCCTTTCATAAAATTACAGGTAGGTAAATCGTATAGAGTCTGTTATAGAAATCACGGGTAGGTAGATCGCAAGAGTCTGTTATAGAAATCATAGAAAGGAAGATTACAAAAAGATTATAGAAATTAAGGTTAAACAGATCGTAAGATTGTGTTATAGAAATCACGGGTAGGTAGGTAGATCGTAAGAGTCTGTTATAGAAATCATAGAAAGGAAGATTATAAAAAGATTATAGAAATTAGGGTTAAACAGATCGTAAGATTGTGTTATAGAAATCACGGGTAGGTAGGAAGATCGTAAGAGTCTGTTATAGGCAGAAAGATCGTAATACTCTACTATAACCCCATTGGTAGGTAGATTATAATAGTTTGTTATTGAAATCGTTATCAACTTCTGACTAGTTAATTGAGCAGACTGTTAAAATATGACCACAACATTATCCAATAACCGTTACCTAAAATATGATCCCAATATCATCCACAGATTGCAAACAAACTTAGAGTCGCGGTTTCGAATCCTCGTCCCACCAAACATGCTCGCCCTTTCAGCTGTGGGGTGCGTTATAAGCAACTAATGCTAAGATAATAAACATTTACAGATATAACATTTCCTTTTGTTTGATTGTTTCGAGTATACGCACGAAGTTACTCATAGACTATCTACGCTAGCCGTCACTAATTTTTAACTTGGAAACTAGAGGGAAGGAATTGATTTGTTTTGTTGTGAATTTCGCGCAAAGCTACACGAGGGTCATTTGCGCTAGCCGTCCCTAATTTAGCAGCGAAATACTAGAGGGAAGACAGCTAGTCATCACCATCCACCGCCAACTCTTGGGCTACTCTTTTGCCAACGAATAGTAGGATTGACCGCTACATTATAACGCCCCCACAGTTGCAAGGGCGAGCATGTCTGGTGGGACGGGAATGCGAAACCGCGGCTCTCAGCTTTCGAGTCAAGCGCCCTAATCACCTGGCCATTGCTTTGGCTATCATTGTCTAACCCAATAGCAGGATTTGATCGTCACCATTATAACACATCGAGACCCCCAATGCAGAGCGCATTTTTTTTTTTTGCAATGTTCCCTCATATTGGTTCGACAACATTTAGCCAAAGAATATCTTAAAACTAAAACAATGTATTTACATTTACTTCTAGAAAACATTTAAAAACTAATATCTATTGTGATTACTTACTAAGTTAGTCATTAGAAAACATACAGTACTTACCATATTTAAAGTTTACTGTAATAGCATTTAAAGAGCATCACGCAGCAATAAAATAAAAGTAAATGTGATTAATTTTAATTCTCGCCTTAATTATAAATCGCTTTAAAAGTATATATATATACCACAAATATTTTTTTTCTTTTGTAAATATATATATTATTTAAGTAAGATTATTGTCTTTAAGAAAAGGTATAAGCTTTGTTTTTGGATATATCCAAATAAAACCAATTATATGGTAATTTCTTTAATCATTACATAGTTTTAATTACGCTAAAACTTACAACTTCATCCACGATAAGCACTATTACACGAAGTTAGTAGCTTTTATCTTCCTTCATTCACGATTCACTGGAAACACCATACAAATTCGTGAAAAAAGTAACTTCTAACATCATTCACTTTCTTTAACTTTTGACAATTGGTTTAAAAGAATTTTGAGCAGATGTTATTGAATTTCACACAATATTACCATTGAAATGTTATTCGTATTTATAGTAAAATAAATTAATAAATTAATTAAGATTTATTTTAAAATATCTTAAGAATATTTTTTTTCCTTCAGTTTTCCATTGGTCTGCAGTGTAAATCAAAGCTAATTATTTGTAATTTTTTACCAATAATTAAATCAACCTCTAGATGTAAACAAATAACAATAATTTACGTAATGGTTACCTAAATTTATTTCTTCGACTAATAGTCTTCTAGTTTACATCGCTAACAATTAAGTTTCAATACCCGTGATAGGCAGAGTACAAACAGTCAGTTGTGTAACTTTGTGTTTAACAACAAGAAACCATCGACTAATTGTTAGCTTAGGTACTTATTTTTTCAAGTACAGAGTCAGTAGGAAGTCAAATGTAGGGTAGCTCCATACCTGTTACTCCCACCTTCCGTTACTGAAGTCCAATCGAATATCACACTTGTGATAATCTAGTTTAGGATTTACAAATAGACATTGAAAAATATAAAACTGTTTTGGAGAAGTTTCACAATAGATGAAAAATTTCTTATCACTAAAACACTATTTCGATTAGTAATGATATTGTACACCAGTTTAAGTTGTATTAGGAGTATGAGAAGTCACTCGATGACTCAGCGGAAAACTTCAAGGCTTATAACTCTATAATTAAATGTTTTATCCCAGCAGTGACATAACACAGATAATCGTCCATCGTGAAGCTTTGCATTAAAGCAAAAGAAATCAAACAATATAAGAGGCAAAATTTTTACTTCATAAGATGTTATTACTGATTAATCAGTTGTCTTCTTGCTAATTCTTACAATAAACAGTAAGTACATATAATTATTCTGCAGTCTAAGGTTTACGTCCGTTTCAGTTTATTTTCAACTTCAATCATTCCTATATATGAGCAGTTTTTTTCGAGAAAAGTCCTAAGTAAAGTTAGAAACAAATGATGTATGTAAATACAATGTAAACAAATGCAAGTATTTTGTTTTTGAGTTTTACTAAATGTTTTAGTTTCTATAAACAATGAACGTTTTTTTATTATCATACGTATCATGTTAGATGATTGTTTATTTCTAGTATCTTAGATAACTATAATAGGTAGATAGTATGTATATATATATATACTTCAAAATAAAAATGAAATCCATTTATTTACCTATATATATGTGTGTGTGTTTGTAGTATTTATCTATCTTTAGAACACCAGTTTCAAGTGCTCCGTCATATATATGTAGCCAATTTAGCACTTTGTGTGAATTTAAACACTTAACAATCCTAGTTATTATCACATCACAGACTGGTGTTAAACAGATGTATGTAATCACTAGATGGCTTTATTGTTGCTATTTCTTTGGTGGATACAGTGTTTGAAAGATGTAAGCCTACTGGCATAAAATACGCGTTTTCTATTTTAGCTATTTTGCGGAAGAAAATGCGTTATTTTAGTTATATCCCAATCATATATAGTATACTTCTGCCATTATTACAAGTAGGATGTATTAAGCTTACGGCAACGAAAGAGAGATAATAACCAAAAGAACAGAGTAGCCTTCTGCTATAACCATTAACAGATTCTAAAAGTAGTAGAAAGATTTCAATTACAGCAACTTAGAGATTTTACCATGCGCACTTTTTATACTTTATGCGAAAGGAAAAAAAGAAAATAATTTATGCTACTTTACAGCGAAACCTGATTTAACGTCAGTATTGTGCATCTCTAATCAGCTTCCTACTCTGTCTCAAAACTTTTGTTTTGATCTATTCTGCTTTTCATGTAGCTATAACCTTAAAATGGCACAGACCAATTTTGGACTTACTTTGGAATATGAATTGAAGTGATATTGAATATACTTTTGAGTTAGTGTTGAGAATGATTTGGAGCTAGTGCAGAAAGTTTAGAATGAATCAGAAAAATTTGTTGAAATATAGAAAGGGGTTTGGAGAGAAAATTGAATAAAATTTAAAGAGGGTTCGATGAGTGTTTCGAGAAAATTTGATATAAGTTCGAAAAAGTTTGAAAGGATTTTGAAAGGTTAAGAGAATTATCTAAAAAAATGTTTGTTTCTTTGTAGTTAAGCACAAAGCTTCACAATGGA